CCAGGTCACTCACTCACCGGCGGGGTTGAGGAAGTTGGGGGGGTGAAGGGGAAGGGGGGGGTGGGGGGCCGTTTTTTTTTGGCTGGGTGCGGGGCGCGCTTTTTTTTTTGCTGCGGGTGCGGGGGCGCGTTTTTTTTTTTGCTGCGGGTGCGGGAGCGACACGCACCAGGTCACTCACTCACCGGGGCGGCACCCGAAAAAAGCACCCACAGCAAAAAAGCACCCACAACAAAAAAAAAACACGGGTTCCGGGTCCCGATTCTTTTAACGCCACGCAACACAAAGAGAAAGCAAAGCCCTAAACCCTAAACCCTAAACCCTAAACCCTAAACCCTAAACCCTAAACCCTAAACCCTAAACCCTAAACCCTAAACCCTAAACCCTAAACCCGGCTACTTCCAGGCGTCCGAGACGCTCGAGGTAGTGGAGCAGCTTAGACAAGACCATCTGCCGAACCATTGGGCCAATGGTGCTTCTGTCAGCATCCAAAGTAAACTCGCCTTTCTGAGGGTTTCGGGTTTAGGGTTTAGGGTTTAGGGCTTAGGGCTCAGCATCCAAAGTAAACTCGCCTTTCTTAGGGTTTTACAGGCTTTTTCTTTGCCACCCGTCTAGCCAAGGGTTTAGGGTTTAGGGTTTAGGGCTTAGGGTTTAGGGTAGTTAGTTACATGGTTCCTTAGTATGGGCCCTTAAAAGGGTACCCTTTACACATTAAGGGCCCTTACATCAGAACCCCTTAAAGGAGGTTCAAGGGACCCTATTCAGGGACCCAGGAAACCACCCTCAGGAGCCTTCGCCAGGAGCATCCAGCAGGCAGCTCCCTGTCGCCCACATCAAGGTTTGGTGCGTGGCGCTCCTTGGTGGCCCACTAACCATGTTTAGGTTTTAGGGTTTAGGGTTTAGGGTTTAGGGTTTAGGGTTTAGGGTAGCCCAGTAGCCCGATATTGTAATAAGGGCGCCCTTTTGTGGGTTGGCTACTTTATAAGGGAACCCAGAACCAAAAAAAGG